TAGAAATGCTTTTACTTTAAAAACTACTTGGGTACCGTATAATTCTGAGCTTCTGGTTTTCATTTTCAAATGTTTTTTATAGAAATTGAAAATTTGGAGTGAAAATTTTGATTTAAGCTCTTGCGCATTATCAGGGGGCGGGGGGGGAGCATACCTTCGAATTTTTCAAAAATTGAGAGTTTTTGGATAGTTTTTCCAATTGAAATCTGGCTAAAATTAAACCAAAAAACACTATTAAAATTAGAGAAAACAACCGATTCTAGTCATTTCTGGATTTTTACAACAAAACTGCTTCCCCCGATAATGCCAAAGTGGAAAAACTCGAATTGGCTGCTTTAGCGAATTAAAACGCATTTTTAATCTTTCTGGAAAAACGCGTTCTTTAAAAAACTAGAAAAACGTGGAAATATTTTTTAGTTTTAGCTGAACTGGTTTTAACTAGAAGTTTTTAGAATCGTAATTTTAGTGCATGCAAGAAACACTCTTTTTCGTAAGAAACGTATTTTTCATACGCTCAAATTCAAGATTCCCGGCCGACACTTTCCCTTCCTCCCAAAAAACATTACACCCCACGGTGCCGGCCGAATTCCACAATTTGCCAGTGATACCCGCCAATTCTCGGTTTCGCCGCCGGGCCATTCTTCTCCATCCACCCCACCCCGCTGCTGCCATTTGTGACCCCGAGAGGGAGCGGGCAAAACGCGAAATGGGCGCCATTTAGTAGGGGGGACAGATTCAATTTGTGCAGCCATGCGAACGGCCCGTCAAAAATGCAGCCAGGGGGGGTATCGTTAGCACGGCATCGCTCGCTAGTCAGTGCGGCTGATTTTTGAGCCACTTTTGGCGTTGTCACGACACGCCTATACTTTTGTCGGGTTTTCATGGCGTAATGGGTGCGGGTTACGGTAGCTTTTCAATTTCGATAGATCCCGCTGTCAAGATTATTGAAAGACGTTTGATGTTGTTGTAAAAAATTATTGGCTTTTTAGCATTATCCCCGGGGAAAGCCTGCGCAATTTTCAGTTTTGGTTAAAAGGACGTATTTTTGTTCGGAAATCGATAGTTTTATATTTTAATAAAAATACGTAAAGTCTTCGCGTTTAGGAACAGTACGAAACAGTTTAGAGACATTTCATGATTGCGATTAGGCCCTTGCCCCCCCCCCCCCTGGCCCGATAATGCGAAAGAACTAATTTTTGTGACAACTTTGAAACACTCTAAAGTTTGAGCCAAATATCGGGGTTTTAATCTAATTGAATCAAATCGGTTTTACTCAGCGTTTTGAGAGCTTCCAAAAAGGCAATAAAGCCCTGCCTTTTTCCGCTCCAAAAAGCCCCCCCCGATAATGCCAAACTCCCACTATCGCCAGAATTAGTCGGTTTACCTCTATTTCAATGTCATTCATAATCCCTGACAGGAGGGGTTTGAGTGATGGCACCGGAGGCAAATACTCCTGTTCACCCGTGCCCGCTTTTGATGTGGATCCCCCGTCGGCTTTTGGGTCGACATGAAATTTGAGTCGAATGCTTTCTATAGCTCCCCCATCCACTCCCCCGGAACACATAAAAAATACGGGAATATGGCCTACGGGGGTTGTTGTAGCTAACCGCGAAACGAGTCTCGATTTTTATGGCTTTTTATGGGCTCTCTCGAAGTGAAGTGCGGCTTTAGAGGGAACTCTCTTCTATATATGCTTAGTTCATGTGGTACTGGTACCTTACCGGGGGAGGGGGTGAAGTTTCTTTATGCAGCCAAACTCGATAATGGGGTTAGAAAATTTCGGAAAACGATACTTTCGCATTATCGGGGGAGATCACGTTTTTCTAAGCAGTAATTTTTCGATTTTTCGATAGAGGATGTGTTTCTACACTATTTTTGACCATTTCTAAATGTAAAGGCTTTACAAATTTGTGAATTTCGAAATCTTATGATTTTTACCCCCCCCACGCTAACAGGTTAGTACCACTTTTTTACGCCTCGAAAGGTCTTGGCACCACGAAATTCCGGGGGGTTGACTCCTGGCCCCCATCCCTATTTGGGCCCCCCTATTGTTCCATTTCGATGGCATCTCCCCCCCCGGGCCCTTCATTTGCATGTGGAAGAGTGCGTCTTTAGGATGAGCGCGTAGCTCATTACACGGAACGTGCCGCTGCGGGTCAAGAAGAAATTGGAGTCGCCTTTCGGGCCGTCATTAGGCGGGGCTCTATCCCGAATTTTTTACGGATCTTCTGCGTTATCGGGGGGGGCGAATTTTTATATGTCGCCAGAAATGCATAGTAGCATAATATAGATATTTTGATAGTGTTTTTGGCAAAATTTAACTATATTTCAAGTGCAAAAACGATCTAAAAAGACGTAGAAAAATTTTGAAAATGTACATCTGGTTGAAAAATCGATATTTTTGTATTTTTCACAAAAATTTTGTACATTTTTAGGCTCAGATATAGTAAAAACAGTATAGCAACACTTCTATTTAAGTTAGAAAAAGTGAATATTCAAGAAAAAACTTAGAAAGCTCTTCCAAATTTGAAAATTTTTATCGAAAATTGGCAATTTTTAACCGAAAATCCCTGTTTGTGTGTTTCTTAATTTATCCTAACTCCGAACACCGCCCCGCCCCCCGATAATGCTCAAGCTCTCTCCCCGGAATCGGACCGGTGTCGTATTCATTCCGGAACCCTCGAAAACCTGGGAAGGTTTCCCTTTCTTGGGTCTCGTCTCTCGAACCGCTGAGAGAAAGAACAATTACCGACGCGCCGAAATCCAAGCACAAGGGCCCCGTCTTCCCCTTTTTATTTCCCCCTTTTTTGGGCCCCAAGACCAGGGCCCACCCCTCGGAAATTGAAAAGTCCGATTTCGTGCGGAACGGACCCGAGGGAAATTTCCCCTTTACGGTAACGTCCTAAAATTTCGGGTGCTTTTGCAGTATCGGCAGGGGGTCTCACCTATTTTTTTAAGGTTTTTTTCTTGCTTTTTTGTAGATGAATAGCGGAAGTGCATCTATATTGTTTTTTGCTATTCGTAGGCGTACAAACTACACAGGTTTTTGCAAAAAAAGAACAAAAATTGCGATTTTTTTAGCCTGCCCCGGTGCTTGTGCAGTATCGGGGGGGGGGGTTCTTGAGCATCCAATTTTGCTAACAATAACAGTGGAAGTGTTTTTACACAATTTTTGCAATTCCGATCCCGATATCCCCCCGATAATGCCAAAGAACCCCCGTTTTACCAGACCCGGCTAATCGACTCCATTCCTGAAGAGCCCCCCGTTTAAAAGCATCATTGCCGATTCGGGGCCCCCGGAGGCGCAGGAAAACATTTCGGTGGGCCAAAGAGCTTCTTCTGCTCCGCGGGGAGGAGCGGGGCCCCGTTGAATATTCCAAGGGGCCCGAGGATGGGCCCTAAGAGGGGCCGAACTAACGCGATTATTTTGGCCTTTCTCCCCCCGCTATTGTCTCCAAGTCGCACTAGCCGGCAGTGTGGCCGGGAGCTGGGCCACAGAAGTTTTTGGCTCCGTCCTACACCTAATTCCGCTCATTTTGGCATCAAGACTAGATAAAAAAAAATGTTTTTCTACCTTTTAAGCCTTTTAAAAAGAGTGTTTGATTCGGTTTTACACCTAATTCCGCGCATTTTAAAACCAGTACGAAATGGCAAGAAGTTATCTTTACCCTTAAGCAGTTAAAAATATGTGTTTTTAGGTTTTTACCCGTTTTTAGACATCTTATCGCGAACCGAAATTTTTCAAGAAGTTAACAAGAAGAAGAAGAAGAAAAAAAAATAGTAATCGAATAAAACGTTTTTTAATAGTGTTTTAGTGAACTGTCGCTATATTTGAAGCAATAAACGCTTTTTAAAGCTTCAAAAACGACAAAAAATTTCTTGTTTTGGTTGAAAGTTGGGCATTTTTCGTCGAAAAATGATTTTTGTACTTCGAATAAAACTTGTAAAATTTTAGGCTTCTCGATTCATCTTAGAAACACGGAATACTTCAAAAATCGGTTCTCGTTTCTAGCCAGATAACACCCCCGCTAATGACAATGAACCCAAAAAAACTATAGTAAAATATAGATTTTCTAGGATTTTTTTGATTTTTGTATCCAGCCTTGCTGCTTGCCGTTCACTGATTTATAATTTTCTTTTTCGGTTAATTTTACCTATTTGGTATCCGTCCCCTAATGCGCTAAATCCGCCCTCATTCCCTCATTCGCCACATACCTCCAATTAGAAGCCGCGGGGGGTGGCGGCTTAGCATATTGGCCCTCTCTACCGGGAGGGCTTTCACCCAGATTAGACTGACCCAACCACCACGGCCACGGCGTTGGGCCCGATCCCGGCTAATTGGCATTTCCACTGTTTCCCACTCTGTCTCTGCTTCTCCCCCTGGCCTGATGACTTGTTGACTTCGCCAAACCCCCCATATTACCCACGGTCTGCCGTTCGCCAGGGCCCTCGGGGGGCACTTTCCCACCGGATTTCCGGCTTGATTTCCCGATTTCTGGGGTATTTTGGGGCGTAAAAAACCCTAGAGAGGCTGACAAGAGAGATTTTTTGACATGGATTGAGTTTTTGGGTTCTTTTGCAGTAACGGGGGGAGTTAACTTTTTATAGAACTCTAAAAATCCTTAGCAACGTTATAAGAAAGACTTTCATGGTGTTTTCAGTGAAATTTAACTGTATTTTAAGCAGACAAACTATCTAAAAAACCTCGACATTTCGAAATTTTGGTCGAAAAATCTATATTTTTCTGTATTTCTTAAAAATTTGTTATGTTTTTGCGCTTACGCATAGCAAAAAATGTTATAAACACTTCTTCGATCTCCCCCCCCGATAAAGCACAAGCACCGGGTTTTAGTCGGGGGTCAGGCCCAATTCCCATGAAAGTTTTTGTTTTTTTACCCGTATCTTCGTTTTCTTGTTTTGTAAAACTATTAAAAATTTGCCATAACCCTATTTTTCAGCCGCCTACCACGTGAGAGTATGCGGACACGCTGCGTGCCCGGATGAAGGCCACTTCTTATTTTCCGCTAATTCCGCTGCTTTTGCTGCTTGGCGGTGCCATCGTCTGCAGCGCGAAAAATGAGGTGCTCGGCCAGCCAACAGTCAGGTTGGCTTTTTTACTTTTTTTTTAATTTTTTTGGACCGGAAAACCCGCGATTTTCGACACATCGGTGCTGGTGCATTATCGGGGGGTGGTATCAGGGGAGAACTAAATTCTCTCTTACTTCTTAATTTTTAATATAAAGAGGAGGCGTTTCTAAACTATTTTTTACTATTCCTAAACGAAAAACCTTTAGAAATTTTCAAATTTTCAAAATTTGCGAGGACTGGCCTCCGAAAAACGTGTAAAATTCGATAGCACTTTAAAAGAGTTTATATTCCAAGATTCGGCTCTTTTTCGGAGTAATGGAATATAGGAAAAATTCACACCCGCACCAGAACCTACAAGCTTTTCCTACCAAATTCCGCCCCAACACACCCTCAAAAGAATTCCCCGACCCAAATCCATCTTGACTTGGCACACCCAGCCGGACGTTGGGGTGTCCCGGGGTGGAATGGGTACGAAAAGGGGTGTCTTTCGGAATGGCGCACACCCCAGAGGGCCATATTGGGGGGGGGCGGGGGGGGGGCGGACAAAGGACAGAAACGGACTGACTAACGAAAAGAGAGGGATGGCCACGGGATTAGGCGAGTCGCCACGATGAAACATACCCACACTGCAATACACATATGCTAATGTTGGCCCCGGGGTCGGCAGATTTTGCGGGAAAATTCGGGTAAAAAGGTGGTACTGCACTGTGAGCGGGGGCGGAATTAGTTTTTTTCGTAACCGCGATTCGCGCTGCCGTTTAACAATATACAGGGTGTCCCAATAAAAAAGATCACGCTGGCATTTTTCTATTTCAAATCCGATCGACTTGAAATTTTGCACAGAGGTGCGGAAGGGAATTTAAAATGTTCACAGAAACTTTCAGCCCGATCGGTACCGTAGTTTTCGAGTTATAGCAAAAATAAACATTATTTTACGTTTTTCACCTGGATTCTGCCGGAATGGAGCACTGGGATGTATGGAGAAAATGAAGCGCCGTCCCTTTTTTATCCTAGGAATTTTTTATTTCGCAAAATTCGGGTCGAAAATAGGCTATTTAAGTATTTTTTTAACAAGGGCTAACGACGCCGATGTTAAGAAGAATAAGGGATTTAGAGCCGGAAATTTATGTTAATTGATGCAAAGTCCAAAAGATAGCCGAAAAAATGAAGCTAAAGTGTGGGAAAAACAGTATTTTTACAATAACTCGAGAACTACTGTACCGATCGGGCTGAAAGTTTCTGTGAACATTTTAAATTCCATTCCGCACCTCTGTGAAAAATTTCAAGTCGATCGGATTTGAAATAGCAAAATGCCAGCGTGACCTTTTTTATTGGGACACCCTGTATACGCTATTTTTATCGCAATTTAAACAATTTTTAGGCTAAAACGTTCATACAAATTCTACAAATTTGCACCTTTTTTGATTTTGTCGTAAAAATGCAAGAAATCACCAAAAAGGTTTAAATTTCCTAACTTTAAAAAAATTTACGAGATTTTTATAACTCCTAGCGATCAAAAACTACCAAAAACACTATTAAAATACATTATATATTATTGGCAGCTTGATATAGACACAAAAATAAAAATTAGCTTTCCCTGACCCCGTTCAAACCCCCCCCCCCGATAATAGTCCAGTACCGATCCATAGATACAATGTTTTTGTAGTGTTTTTAGAGAATTTTAGCCGAAAACAACAGGAGCGACAATAAATAACAATTTTCCATTTCTTTCAGTTGCTCAGCAGACGCGATCTACGTGAAAATCCGTACACGCGAGACATTCGCCGGCCACATCACCGTACGATACGCGCCGAATACCGTGTGCTATCAGGTAACGCCTCCGATCATCCACTTCACTTCCGTTTTCCAGGTGCTCGTGACGAACAACCAAATCGAAGTCCTCGTCCCCCATCAGGATTGCGCGCTCCCGCGCAAGAGGTTGGGAGCCCTAAAAAGCGAATTATTTCAATTTCCAGGCTTCACTCCCCGGAAGGTGTGGTCGTGTCCGCCGAGTTGGTCGTCTCCTTCCACCCCGATTTCTTGACGAACGACGCCCTCGTCTACCGGTTCGAATGTCGGCATACACGGAAAGACGACGGGAAACTTGAAGCTGGCACCCAGCAGACGGCACTCACTGAAGACCCTCATGCTCATGATGGACCGCTTTGCCAGTACAGGATAAAAAGGTTAGTTTTTTGGTACTGTTGCACTAGCGGGGGAAGAAAATTTATAAATATTATTGCATTTTCGACGGTAACTATGAAAGCCGAAAAACATAAAAATTTTCAATTTTTTTAAAGGTTCTAAAAATGCTTTTTTTCTGCTCTTTAGTAGCAAAAAAACTACAAAAAAACGCTAGAAAATGCTAACAATTTCTCGGTAGAACTAGGCTAGATATCCCCCCGCTAACAGCCCAGTACCACCTTGTTTTAGCTCGCAAAACGGCCATCCACTACACTCGGCCTCCATTGGTGATGTGGTTTTTCACGAGTGGAGCTGCCAAAATACGGGACCGGATCAGTGTCTTCTTGTAAGGTAAGGAAATATACCCTTAGAAACTACTTTCAGCATTCCGGTATTTATTAATCATTTATTTAACTATTTAAAATCACCTAACAATTCCAGAAGCTGCTTCTTTGTCACCCCCGAAACGAGATATCCGTTGGTAGATGCGGACGGGTGTTCCCTGGATCAATACGTACTGCCGCAGCTGCACTATTTTGATCATGTAAGTAGAATCACTAAGTAGGTTTTGAAAGAATTATTAATATTAATAAAAATATATATACTTTCTAGCGCCTGGTCGCACAAAACGTGTCGGTATTTGGCGTGGCGCAAAGACCGGTCGTCTTTTTCGAATGCGAGCTGGCGCTCACCGAACGCGATGATCATGGGTGTCAGCCACCCGTATGTGGCAAAGATTCGACGGTCCATAGGTAGGAGAAACAACGAAAACTATTTTATAAAAATGTCTTCCAGACGAACCCCGAGGACCCTCCACTCGATTGAGGCACAATCCCAGCGGCTCGAGATCTCGGAAATGCACAACCCGCATGAGGTGAGAAAAACAGCACAATGAAAGAAAATTAGGTTCTGGCTCGTTAGCGGGGGGGCGACGTTTTCCGGTGTTTCCGTAGGCTATCAATCGTATTTCATGCCTTTTTAATCGACAAAAAGCTCAGAAAAACTATTAAAAAATTCGAAAAATTGCGAGTTTTAGGAAAAAGGTGTATGACGAGCAGCAACTATGGTAGATTAAATTTATAAACTATTAACATTTTCAAAACATTCAGTTTTAGATCGAAATGATTAAAAACGCTTAAAAGTTTCGAAACTAGCAGTTTTGGATGTCTCAAAAGTAATCAAAAAGAGTTTTAGGACTTTTTGGATGTCCAAAACTGCAAAAAAAAAGAAAAATAACTGCCAAGGTATCGTAGGTTTTATTACCATAGAGATCAGGCTGACCAAAAAAGTGCCCCGCCAAAAAAACCGTTAACAAACCAGCACTCACAATACGAACTGACTTCTAGACCGATGATATGGCCCGTTCCCTCGACATGGCGCTCGTCGAATGTGCACAGCCGAACGAGGAGTCGAACTCGCGCCTCGTCTGCCTGTCGACACTATCACTGGCTGTAGCATCCGCTGTAGCAGCCGTTCTTGTCGTCATCGGGGCCACCGGGGCCCTACATCTCTTCTGCCGGCGAAAAGAAGGCTACGCCGGTGTCCGGCACACCTTGTAGCCATCCATGATGTGATCTTTTTCCTGGTTTTATGTGCTAGTCATTGTTTCGCTCGCCCCCGTTTACAATTACGAGTATATCCGAATGTTCTTCCTCACACAGTTTCTGAACGTTTGCCCCCATTTTTCTCAGGTGCCTCGTGGAGAATGCATCAATAAATATTTTCGACTATTTCTTTCTTAATATATTACAACTGATAATGGTTCTGAAAGGAGCTTTACTTTTATTCCTTCTAGAAACAAACAAGAACTTGATCTATTATCCACTTTTATCAATTTAAAAAACGAGCTAAATTGATACAAGCCTACAAACTAACAAGAAATGGCTCAAAATCAAAATCTTCCTTTTCAACTCAAAAATTGATAAAAACGACACGGTGGTGCCAAACGAAAAACGAGCCTTAAAGTGTACGGCGCTTTACTATCGACGGAGCTAACAAATGCGCGCGTTGCAACTGATTTCCCCGGGCTCCTCTTCGTTTTTGGCGTTTTCGAAAACTCCTTTTTCGGGACCATGACAGTTGAGCAACGACGTTTGAGCAAATCGGGAAAAACGACGTTTGAGCAACTGCGACTTTTAAGCAAACACGGGAAAACGACGTTTGAGCAACTTTCGTAAGAAAAAAAAGAAAATGCATGTAAAATAGCCGTTTTCATAGCTTTTTCTTAGTTTTAAAAATACTTTGTGCTAAATAAAGCCTTCTAAAGCCTAAATTATACCCCGGATCGGCCGTGTTTCACAGGGAATGTATTTCTTTCAGCTAATTAGCCTTGAATGTCCTGAAGACCCTAGTTTTTGAAGGTTTTGTGCTTCTGTATGGCGTTTTTTTGTTAGAATACGTAAAGAAACAAGTTTATAATATCAGGAAAGTAGACATAAGAATCGAACCTGGGTTTTGACCTGAAAGTTCTAACAAATCGTCAATAAAAGACATGTTTTGATTCGTTTTCTTTTCCAAATGCCATTTTATCAAACATGTGGATGCATCTGAGCTAGAAATGGTACCGAAAAACCAACAATATAGAGAAAACCGGATAAAACTACCTTTTTGAGTGAATGTACACAAAGTGGCATCAAAAGGGAACCACGGCGCGAAAGTCGGCCTCGCCGGGGTATAATTTAAGCTTTAGAAGACTTTATTTAGCACAAGGTATTTTTAAAACTAAGAAAAGGCTATGAAAACGGCTATTTTACATGCATTTTCTTTTTTTCTTACGAAAGTTGCTCAAACGTCGTTTTCCCGTGTTTGCTTAAAAGTCGCAGTTGCTCAAACGTCGTTTTTCTCGATTTGCTCAAACGTCGTTGCTCAACTGTCATGGTCCCCTTTTTCGATTCTTTTGCTACATATTTCCTTTAGCAAAAATGGGATCATCAGACAAGAAATCGAAAAAGGACCGAAAACGATCGAGAAGCCGTTCGCGGGAACGAAGCCGCAGACGCAGGGATTCCTCTTCAGACAGGTGCGCATTTTCATGAAACTTATTTTTGGATTAGTTCCCGAGATTACGACAAGAAGTCGGATGACCATCGCAGGAAGAAGGACGGGTCCAAGAAGGCTGATAAAGAAAAGATGAAGGCGTTGGAGACCCCAGAGGAAAAGCGCGCACGGCGGTTAGCGAAGAAAATGAAAAAGGTATGCGGGTCAATTCGGGTTTTACCGATTTGCAGGAGGAGAAGAGAGCTGCAAGTAAAGGGGAGGGATATCTTCCATCGTCCGTCACCTACACGAATTTGGACAATCCATTTAACGATCCACACCTCGCTGATACCTTCGTTTGGAAGAAAAAGTTGGATGAGGAAGGTCGGCCGGTCAAGAAGCGCGATATTGAGAAAGAGTTTGTTATTTTCATTTAGCTTTTAGCTTTTTTTAGAACGCGAGAACGGGTTCAGCGCAATCTCCGGGAAATGGATGAATTGAAGAGGAACAGGGACTCCCGTTTGGCTGGTGGGGAAATTACGCGGTAATTAATTTCTTTTGCAGCTCGGGAAGAGATGGATATGATGAAAAGAGAGGAAGAGAAGGCTGCATATGGTGATTGGGATCAGAAAGAAGCCCAGTTTCAGCTGCAACAGGCTAAGGTTTGTCTGGGCTCTTTAGATGATCATTTTCTTTAGCTTCGCTCCAAGATCAGAATTGAACAAAATCGTCCAAAGCCGATTGATCTCTTGATTCGGTAAGGATCAGAGGGATTTTTTGACCCTTGGAATTTCAGATATATCGACTACGCGGAGGAGCCAAGTGACCTTTCGGAGAAGGAACGACAAGAAGAGTTTGAGCTAGAGGAACCTTCCAAGTAAATCAGCTCGTCGCCTCTCTTATCCGTCATTTAGGTACATCCGGGGTTTATCCTATGGCGATTATGAAGACCTCTTCGAAGACTTCAAAATTTGCAAGCAAATCGATGCCGGCAAAAACGCCGACTACTGGAGTGATATTCAAACGGTAAGGGATCATCCAGTTGCTCTTTCAAGTCTTACAGTTGGCTGACGAAGAATTCCGAAAACTGAAGAACACACGACAGCAAAGCGCCACGCAAGCCGTCCAGGGTGACATCGACAAGCGGATGAAGGTAATACTTGCACCAATTTATTCACACCCGAACAGAAAAATTAGTTAATGCACTAAATTAGCGTTTCGCAGGAATCTTTAAGGGTTGTCAAAGTAGGTAGGCTCATTCCTCGGGGATCGTCTCCGGGATCTTGTCGCTCCTCTCCATGACGAATCTAGAAAATAGGGTTTTGTAAAAGTCATTTTCCAACTTGGGGAGCTCAGTCTCGAGGGGGTCGCGCTCAAAGTCAAAGTTGTCCTCGTGCGACGTCACCCCGCCGACCTTAAAAAGGATTTAGAAGATGAAAAAGGAACTTTCCTACAGATTTTTCATGGCAAATTTCGACAGGAAAATCCATTGGAAAAAAATTATGGTTTTTTCAAACCTGCTCATAAATTCGAACGCAGAATTCCTCAATTTCGTTGTAGCACTTTTCGGGGATGTGGCTGGTGTTGGGCAGGGCCATCACATGGTGGTAGAGCTCGGTGTAACTGAACAATCGGGTCCAATAGGCCCGAGGACCACTCACACAAAAGGCAGCCCCTTGACGAGACCAGCATCCTGGACGGCTTCCATTTTAATTTGGTGAATCTTGTCGTAGGGTTTTCCGGTCCAGGGCAGCTGGCCGACGAGCATTTCGATGAAGAAGTACAGCCAGGCTTCGATCTCGTCCCGTGCACGCACCGAACCTATTTTTGCGATTAGCTGAACCTAAGGATAGGGCTGCTAACCGGTGTTAGTTGGAGCGTAATGGGGACCGCCGGCCCAGCTGACAGGAATCGACCAGTCTCGCTTCCCGGGGTCGGCACGGATCGTCGAGAGGTCGCTGAGGAAGAGATTCCGACCGGCCGCGTCAAAATGGAACATCTCCGGCTCGAGGCAGCGCAACAACATGCTGTACTTGTGCACGTACCGGATGCACTAAAAGAACGGTCTTTAGTTCTTTAGTGTGGGGTACTTACTTCCTGATTCAGGCTAACCTCCATCGTAATAAAATATAGGCTATCTTTAATCAACTATAATAAAAAAGTAGTGGTGTCTGTGTGTGTGTCTGTCCGGTCCCGAATTCAACTCGAAGGGGAAAGGAGCTAGAGCTTAGGTCTCTTCGGATTCGGATAGAGCGCCATCAAAAACCCCCAAACTGATAAAAAAATTATGAAAAAGTTTTAGTTTAAATTATTAAAATTAACTTTGAAAGTTTTTCCCTTAGTAAAAGGGGTGGGGGACGGAGGTTGGGGTGATTTTGGACATAGTGAGCCAGGTGGCGCGCGTTCCGTGGATGAAAATTTTCACGGGGGATTTCATTTCTTTTTCTCTCTCATTTCATCCGGTCGGTCGTTATTTTCGTTTTTTAAAAGGATTTCGGCTAGGGGAGGTATCTAAAGCCATCAGGGAGGTATTTAGGTAGTTTTTGAAGGGGATTTCAGCCATGGGGGGTATCTGAAGCCATCCAGAAGGTATTTAGGTAGTTTTTGAAGGGGATTTCAGTCATCGGGGTTATCTGAAGCCATCGGGAAGGTATTTAGGTAGTTTTTGATGGGGATCTCAGCCATGGGGGGTATCTGAAGCCATCCGGAAGGTATTTAGGTAGTTTTTGAAGGGGATTTCGGCTAGGGGAGGTATCTAAAGCCATCAGGAAGGTATGTAGGTAGTTTTTGAAGGGGATTTCGGCTAGGGGAGGTATCTGAAGCCATCAGGAAGGTATGTAGGTAGTTTTTGAAGGGGATTTCGGCTAGGGGAGGTATCTAAAGCCATAAGAAAGGTATCGAAGTAGTTTTTTAAGGGGATTTCGGCTATGGGGGGTATGTGAAGTCATCAGGAAGGTATCGAGGTAGTTTTTTAAGGGATTTCGGTTATTGGGGTATCTGAAGCTATCTGGCAGGTATCGTAGTTTAGGTAGCTAAGTTTTTGCCGGGGTTTGGCCATAGAAGGTATCTGAAGCTACTATTGATGAAGGTAGAGGTGTAATGTGGTGGTGTATAATATGGAGGGAGCCCGAAGGCCAGTCGATTACAGTCGCGAAGCGGCTGTAATCGGCTGGTCTTTAATAGTATCTTCGCAGTTTTCGAGTACTAAAAAGTCATAAAATTGCCGAATTTTGGCATTTTTTTTGATGATTTTGCATGGCTTTTTTGACCAAAAACCACGAACTTTCGACATTTCAAAAACTTTTCATTTTTCCAAAAAAGGCGAAAAAAATCATAGAAATTGTTTAGACTTTACCTTGGGCGCCTGCGGAAACAGGAAAACCTCCCCACCCCGTTAGTGAAAAAGCACCGAAATAATTCGCGCGAGTTTTTACTACCATGAACACATCACGCATCAGACGGGCTGCCGAACCATGGCTCAGCGGTCGGTAGTTCATGAAGTCGCGGATTTGGCGGAAGCTGGGCCCAGGCCTAAAGACTGCATCCACGAAACCAGGCTTTTCCACCTGTAGTACAGCATGTAGAAAGCGTAGCCGTCGGCGTTCCAGCCACTATGAAGCTGCGAAAAGTATGGCCACTTGTTGTCGGCCTCGACCTTCTTGAGGAACTCGAGCTCTTGGCCGATGATGCGGCCAGGGATCTTCTCGACGCGCAACACCATCTCCTTGTCGTGGGCCGTCACCAGGTACGTGCCGCCGACTTTGTCGTCAAAGCCGACGCGCTCGTAGACCTAATAGCGGAGATCAAAAGCGGAAGTACTGAACCCTACCACACACTTGTAGTGGTTCTTCTCGTCCATCAGCAGGTGATTGGGCTTGTAGATTGGCACATCGTTGATGAATGTGACCTCCTTGACCGTGGGCGGGATTTCTTCTTCCTCTTCTTCCTCCTCCTCCTCGCCGTCCCCTTCTTTCGGCTCCACATGCTCTTGCTCCTTGACACCTTGCTCAGCCTCCTTCACTTCTCCCAGATCCTCATCACCCTTCACCCTGTCTTTCTGATCCACCGTCTTTAATTGTTCTTCTTCCTCGGCCTGGTCCTCCTTGCCGTCGACGGGCTCGCCCGCATCATCGTCTGGGCCATCGAAGAACGCGTTGGACACGGTGTGCGTGGTCAATTCCGAACAATCTGCCGTCCCGTAGTCGTCACGAGCCAACGGGTCATACTCCTGCAATTTGCATATGCAGGAAAATTGGCTAAACGTACCTCAACGTCGCTGTAGACGACAGCCATTCCGGAGAAACCCGCACTCGGTGGTTAATGCGAAATAATGACTGAATTACTTGGCCTGTGGGGATACCGGAAGAAACCGGTCATGCTAATTTTATGCTAATTTAGGGAAAGATTCCTGCGAAACTAATTTTATGCAAATTTAGATCAAAAACTCATGCTAAACTAACTTTTATGCAAATTTAGGGCAAAACTATGAGCGAGCTGATCGCCCTGAAAAACGATGTCGAGAAGAAGCTCCGCCAACGGGATGCGACAACCATTGTGGCCTATTGGGAAGAAATTCTACAAAAGCTTACCGCACACATCGCAAAGTAGGTTACTTTTTTATCTTTGCAAATTCATTTTAGACAACGAATTCGTGAACTCCACCGGAAGATGCTGGATTTGAAGCTGCGCCGCATTAAGGAGCAGATGAAGGATGAGAATGTCGAGGAGGCTGAAGATGTCAAGCCGGAGCCATCTGAAAAAGCCGCCGCACCATCGCGGGCAGACCGGAGTCGAAGTGGTACGCCGGAGGATGGGCACGAAAAATGGAACAGGCCGAAGGTACTGCTCTATTTCGCTTTTTAGAATGTTCAAGAGGAAAACTAATTTTTCGCTGGAGCGCATGTATACTTGATAACGTCATGACAATCACTTAGCTAAAAAACGCGCTTGAATATTGCCGATTTTGGTCGAAAATCTTTTTTTAATTTTTGTTAAAAGTTGCCCTTTATTAAATCATTTGTTGATTTCATGACTATGTTTATTTCAGATCAACCTCGAATCTCTGGAAGACCCCGAGTTAGATGAGCAAGAACGGGAGCAGAAATGGAAGTACGTTGATCGCTTTCTGACACATCGTTCCCTTTCAGACAGTTGCTGCCCGAGGAATTGCAAGAAGCGACAGTCGATCTTTATGAAAAGGGCGGCTACTCGCCTACGTATGGCGACCCAGACGACGCAATGCCCGGAATCGAGGTTTTGTCCCGACTTTTTCTAAAAACCTAGTTTTTAGGTTTTATACGAGGCGGACGACATGGCGAAATTATTGGAGCGGCGCGAGAAGAATAGGAAAAAGCCGGAAGCTGGAGACGTTCGTTTCCGGATAAAAAATAACTGAAAAATCTAGGACGCTGACGCTGCCATGTTGGCTATGGCGCGACGAGGGATGGACAAGGATGAAGGGACGTTCAGCGTTGAAGTGCCGATAGAAGCACAGGTTTTTATTTTTGATGGTTCAACCCTTGTTTTCTTAGAAGCACCTCTGGTCGGACAAATATCGTCCCCGTAAGCCCCGATATCTCAATCGCGTGCAAACCGGTTTCGAGTGGAACAAGTACAATCAAACCCACTACGATGTCGACAATCCGCCACCAAAGGTCGTCCAGGGCTACAAATTTAACGTAAGTAATTATTTGCTAACAAATGTCCGGGGAACTGGCCGTTAGCGGGGGGTGAGGACACTGGTTTTGCTTACTAAAAAGTCAGAAAACATTTTTGAATATTTAGACATTTAAAAATTTTCATCATTTTCATACGTTTTTGACCCGCAATAAATAATGTTTTGAACCTCCTTTACTTCAAAACGCCATGGAAAAAACTACAGAAATCGCGTAAAGTGTGAACATTTTATTGGGACCTTACGGTAGTCCGCCCCCCCGCTAACAGCCCAGCACAAGGTTCTCTTTAGGTATTTTACCCCGATCTACTCGACCCAACGATCGCACCAAATTTCAAAATCTACGAAGACGCCGACCCGGATTTTGCGACGATTCGCTTCAAAGCCGGGCCCCCGTACGAAGACATTGCTTTCAAGGTGGTCAATCGCGAATGGGATGTAAGTTAGATTATCCTCCTCCCTAGATATATCATTTTTAGGTGCTCCACAAAAACGGGTACAAATGCCAATTTCAACAAGGCGTCTTCCAGCTGTGGTTCAGTTTCAAAAAATATCGCTATCGCCGCTAAACTTTTTGTTTATTTTGTTATTGATCTGGTTTTTTTGGATAAAAGATTTTCCATGAGAGCTTGTGACGGACTTGTCAAGACAACACGCTATTTTCAAAAAAGATTTTCACTAGATTTTTCCTTATCACGTTTTTCTTTTTTAGATGGGGCTGAAAGATGAATTGCTATTCTTCCTATTTGTACCGAATCGGCCAGGGTTTTTGCTCACTGCGACAGCGCTCGTCATTTTGGAGATCGTTGTAACATACGGGATTATTCAGAAAATACCATGTAAGAGTAATTTTGATGCTTAGATATTTTATACTTTTCTAGATACCGAAATCGACTGGTCAACCTATATGCAACAAGTTGAGTGTTACGTCAAAAAGAACGAGATGAACTATTCGCGTATCGAAGGGGACACTGGGCCTATCGTGTAAAAACTTCAACTCTCTGCCATCAATCTTACAGTTATCCCGGCGGCCATTTGATAGTATATCGAATATTTTATGCGCTGACGAATAAAGGGCAAGATATCAGAGTCGGCCAGTACATTTTCATGGTAAGCCACTTTTCTTTATCCCCATATACTTTTCAGATACTTTATTTAATAAATCTCATCAGCGTCTTTCGGCTGTATTCGAAGACACGATTGGTAAATTCAAGAGCTCATCATTACATCATATTCCAGATGCCACCATTCGTCTTGTTTCTGCTGACCTGCACCGGCTATCGGATCCATTCGCTCTTCGTCCTGAGATTGTTCAACGACACCGTCGCCATGACGTTCCTCTATCTGGCACTGAACTTCTTCGTCTCCCAAAAATGGCTGGCTGGCTCGCTCTTATTTAGGTAAAATCATGTGATTTTTTTGAATTCAATTCTAGTGCCGCCTTCTCGATCAAGATGAACATCTTCTTGTTTGCCCCGGCCTTGGGCTGTATATTGTTGCTGAACACCGGCTTGGCGTGGACGGTGCTTTGTGGATTGGCGGCTGGGCTATTACAGGTATCTTTTTCTAAAGCATATCCATGATCAGGTGTTTACAGCTCTACGTGGCCTTCCCTTTTATTCTCTACGACCCAATCTCGTACATCCGTAGATCGTTCGACCTTGGTCGCGTCTTCATGTTCAAGTGGACCGTTAATTGGCGGTATTTATTTTATTAATTTTATTTTTGTGCTAATTTCAAGGAGCCTTTTGTCTGGTTCTAATATTTTTTTATGTTTTTCCCTTTTATAAACAACCTTTTCAGGTTTTTGCCTGAAGAACTCTTCCTCGACAATAGATTCCATTTGGCTCTCTTTCTAACGATGGTCCTTTTGTGGGCTGTTTTCGGATTTCACATGTGGTTCCGGTAACCATTGCTTTAAAATCGTAGACAAATCTTTTAGGTCTATGGGAGGGCTTCGCGTTTCTTTCTTGACCCTGTTCCGGGGAATTCGGAGCAGGACCGGCCCAGGAGGTTGGTTATTTGCTCATAATCGTTAAAAAAATATTTTTAGATACGTTGTTTGCCCTTTTCACTGCGAACCTGATTGGCATCGCATGTGCTCGCTCCTTGCACTATCAGTTCTACTCTTGGTAAGCGAGAACCGGCAAAATGTTGAATATTTGGTTGATTACAGGTATTATCACCAACTGCCACTGCTACTCTTTTTCAACTACCCTCTGCCAACCTCGGATGATGAGAAATTTCCAATTCCCTGGAAATCGATAATTGCCAAGTGTGTCGAATTTTTTAGTCTAAAAATTCCTTTTTAGAACCTGCGTGCTGCTCGCTGTCGAGGTCTGTTGGTGCACCTATCCCTCAACGAACATATCCTCGTTAGGTATGATAATCTTTAGAGCTATTTAGAACGATATGTTTCAGCGCTTCACGTCATCCATTTTGGGATCCTCTTCTACCTTGTCAGGACACGCGAATCGCACAAACGAAAACACTACAAGCTTTACTGATTTTCTGGGTCTTTTTGTGAATTTCTTATTTTTCATATTACGCGGGATTTCTTTGTGATATATGTATTTACCAGATGGTTACAGTCGCTTCGCGACTGCAACCATCTGGCCTTCGGGCTACCCTACATGTCTCACTTCACCACATCCTTTCCCACCTCCATCAATACCCCCCCATAGCCGAAATCCCCTTCAAAAAACTACCTAAATACCTTCCTGATGGCTTCAGATACCCCCCATGGCTGAAATCCCTGTCAAAAACTACTTAGATTCCATCCCGATACTTTAAATGATTTAAATAATAAATTAACATAATTAAAAAGTATTAAAAAGTATTAAAGTAACTTAAAAACGCTATCTGGGCGTGCGAAGGGGCCTGGGGAAGAGGGGCGAAGGGAAAGGGGGCGTGGCCTCCCGGGATAGGGGCCCCCACTCGTTTTATTAAGGCGCCACTTTCAAAGTTAATTTTAATAATTTAAACTAAAACTTTTTCATAATTTTTTTATCAGTTTGGGGGTTTCCGAGCACGCTCTATCCGAATCCGAAGAGAGCTAAGCTCTAGCTCCTTTCCCCTTCGAGTTGAATTCGGCTTCACACGGACGGACGGACAGACAGACGCGTCAAGAAAATTATTATAGTTGATGGGATTTAATAAATTTGCACATTTTTTGACGAGCGAAAATCGCATGCGCTTCTCGGCGTGGACGTGTCTTGAGAGATTATTGGTTTGTTGCCGAGTGACGAATTCTAGGATTGCGTAGTATGCTGCGCACGGCGTTATGGAGGATCCCATGGTCTTGTCGATTCGCCACGTCCTCGTCATCAACACAACCCCTGCCCCCTAATATGATGGTAAATGCCCATACCTTGATCTTTATCTCGCAGATTTTCGATCGAGACCTGAAACGGCGACAACGGGACTGGGCCGTCCAGCAGGAGGATTACAGTGCGGCCAGTCATTTGCGGGAAGAAATAGGATGGCGGATAGCGGATAAGGTACTTAGAATACGTCTTTTGTGGGATCCGTGGAATTCAACTAGAAACTTATGAATTTTTCGGTACTGGAATGTTAGCAGGGGGGACTAATTTTTCCCAGTATTCCTGTACGGCCCTCTAACGAAAAACAGTTTTAGACAGAAAAAGTTCCTAAAAACCTATAAAAGTTCTTGGCTTGAGCTAAGATGTATGAAAAATTACTTAAAAAGTCAGCAAAAATTGGTTTTCCGTCGTTAAGAATTCCCCACTGTTTACAAAACTATTGTTTTTGGAATACAAAAGATCAGATAATAAAAGGAGAAAAAGAGCAAAATCGCGATTTTCAATTCTTATTTAGGTCTTCGACCTGACCAAATTCAACGAGAGGGTACTCGACATCGGATGTGGCACGGGATTTATTTCACCGCACTTAATAAAGGTACGGATTTCTAAATTAATTCACAAAGTTTCTAGGAAAATGTGCGTAACATTGTACAGTGCGACCTCAGCGCTGAGATGGTGCATAGAAGCAACGGATGTCCTGATGCGGGCGTGGAGGTCGAGCGAGTGCATTGTGATGAGGAGACGCTGTCAGCATTTCAACCTGCCTCATTTGATCTGCTGCTCAGCTCAATGTCCGCACACTGGATCAACGACCTACCTGGCTGGTTTGGCCTCTAATTTATGTCATTATACATACACTGCCGGACATAATTTTGGCCCACCCCAAATTTTCGTGAATTTCCCGGCTCCATACTAATGAACGGGGAAACGCTTCAAGTATGTTATGTACCACGCTATTGAAAAACCAGGACTTAAAGGAAATCTCGGAAAAAATTTTACATTTTGCGAAAATCCATTTTTTAGTCGAAATTCCATTCTGGCAAGTGGTCATAATTTTGGCCCACCCAAAGAAACCGGGTCAAAGGCATCCAAAAGCAGCTTAAAATTTTATTCAATCAATGAATTAATAATCGATTGGTCCACCCGAACAAGGGATTATTTCGAAAAGTCGACTGTACAGGCTCATGATCAGGTTACCGATGTGCTGCTGCGCGAGGGTCAGCCAAGCCTCTAAGATCGCCTTCTTGGGTGATTTAACGTCTTGATAGGGGTTATTTTTGAAGCAGAGCAATGTCAACGTGTAGCCCCAACTCTGTTTTATTCAATGGCGACGCGGGAATTGACTACCCGCGCAAAAAGTGCAATTCCGTGACGTCGGAATCTCGATTTTGAGCGGTTTTCCTGATCAATCGAGGCATTAATTTGCCGGACACGAAGTTCTCGCCCGGATTTGGTTGGATAAATGCTCGCGGCGATCGTCCGGAGGTGTACTCTTACTGGTTCTGGTTTGTCTTCTTAGAGATGAGGTTCGGTTTTATGCTTCCAGTCAAGCAGCAGGGGTCTACGGCCGTCACATCCCATTTCCTAGTATTTCGCCGTAAGATGAGCAAATTTTTCACCCGAGGGTTCGTGTCAATCGAACCGCGAGCCAGCAGGAGCATAGCCACAAATTCCCAGACACCAGACTTCAAGAGCTAAGGCTTTGTGACTCAGCTTTCCTTCCACTGAGCAGTGTGGCTCAAACTCGGTTTTGCTCAACCTCATCTCTAAGAAGACAAACCAGAACCAGTACGAGTACACATCCGGACGATCGCCGCGAGCATTTATCCGGCCAAATCCGGGCGAGAACTTCGTGTCCGGCAAATTAATGCCTCGATTGATCAGGAAAACCGCTCAAAATCGAGATTCCGACGTCACGGAATTGCACTTTTTGCGCGGGTAGTCAATTCCCGCGTCGCCATTGAATAAAACAGAGTTGGGGCTACACGTTGACATTGCTCTGCTTCAAAAATAACCCCTATCAAGACGTTAAATCACCCAAGAAGGCGATCTTAGAGGCTTGGCTGACCCTCGCGCAGCAGCACATCGGTAACCTGATCATGAGCCTGTACAGTCGACTTTTCGAAATAATCCCTTGTTCGGGTGGACCAATCGATTATTAATTCATTGATTGAATAAAATTTTAAGCTGCTTTTGGATGCCTTTGACCCGGTTTCTTTGGGTGGGCCAAAATTATGACCACTTGCCAGAATGGAATTTCGACTAAAAAATGGATTTTCGCAAAATGTAAAATTTTTTCCGAGATTTCCTTTAAGTCCTGGTTTTTCAATAGCGTGGTACATAACATACTTGAAGCGTTTCCCCGTTCATTAGTATGGAGCCGAGAAATTCACGAAAATTTGGGGTGGGCCAAAATTATGTCCGGCAGTGTATGTGTTTTTAGGTTTTCCCGGTGCTACAATTTGCTGAAAGAGGACTGTCCGTTTATCGGGGCCATGCTCATGGAAGATACGTTGTATGAGCTGCGGTGTTCCCTGCAATTGGCTGAGGTTCGCAAGAATTACCGGTTGAGGTTGTGTCGTTTTAGCTGGAGCGATTGGGCGGCGTTGGTTCGCACATTTCTCCCTTCGTAAAAGCCAATGATGTCGGTAGCCTGTTGGGTCGTGCAGGATTTGAAATGGTGACCCTAGATAGCGATGAAGTTCAGGTTGTAAAAAGAGTTATACTATGACTTACGGCATTTAGATAGGTTTCCCAAATATGATTAGCCTTTTGTACGACCTACAATTGATGGGCGAATCGAATTGTACTTATAAGTAAACCGTTTTAATAATCTCTTATCTGTGTTTCTAGGCGAGCTTCTACATTACGAAAGGACGTCTTGATAGCGGCGGAAGCAATCTACAAGGTAATGCTTGTTTTCAACATTATACGAGTATTTTAGGCCATGTACGCGAAAGATGACACCCACCCTGCCACCTTTAAAATCGTCTCTTGGATTGGCTGGAAACCAGGTAAGATATTTCTTAGGACAACGATTTGCTTCTAGGTCCGAATTCACCAAAACCGGCAAAGCGGGGCTCGCAGAACGTGTCGCTGAAAGATCTCGAGCAGATCGTTCAAGATCCTGAATACCATAAAAAGTTGGCCGAGACGCTGCCGCCAAAGCCGAAAGGGAAGGATTCCTGACGGGACACCTACCCTCAAATAGATAGTGCAGAAGGAATAAATATTAATACCATGCACAATGTTTTGTCTCTCGACGTTATCAGCGTTGTTTCATTTCTGTTTCTCCTAGGCTTTCCTCATCTATTGCCTTGTTCTAGATTTCTAGATGGCCCCGAAAGGTGCAGCGAAGAACGTCGACCCAGCAAGTGTTGACTCGGCGTGGAAAGTGTTGCAAATGGTAGCTTGAACAAAATTTATGAATTATGCTTTTTTTAGAAGATGAACGAAAAGAAGCAACAGAGCTTGGCAGCAAAAACTACAACAACCTCGAAAAATCCACCGGTTAGGATTTAAGTAAACTAGTCTGAAAATTTTCGAAGCTCTTCTAGAAATTTCGGCCAAACTAAACATGATAGAATATCCGGAATTAGATTTCTTTTAGGCCCAAAAAAGTCACACGAGGAAGCGGAAGCAAATGTTCGACCAAGAAAAAGAAGCAGCAAAAGCAAAAGTATCGAAGGTCGAAGCCGACACGCTGGTACTATCGTCCTGCCGTGAACGGTGCGTTTTGAAATAGGTTTCACTATTCTACTTTTTTTTAGGGGAGAACTAACCCCGATTCTGGCGCTGGATTGTGAGTACGTTGGCGTGGGTTCGGAGGGTCGCGATGATTCCTTGGCAAGGGTCTCGGTAGTCAATGAGCAGGGAAAGGTATTTAATCCACAAAGAATATTTACCATTTGTTTAGGTTGTCTACGATAAATTCGTCGCTTCTAAGGAACGAATCGTTGACTTCCGCACACAAGTATCCGGCATCAGAGCTAAAGATTTGGTGAACGGTAACTTTTTCGTGTTTCAGCTTTTAGCTTTCAAAATTTTAGCCCCGTCCTTCGAATCGGTTCGTTCAGAGGTGCATTCTCTGCTTTCCAATAGAACGATCGTCGGCCACGCGCTTCATAATGATTTCAGGGTAGGCCTTTTTGCATATTTACGATTGATTTTTAGGTGCTCCAACTCAATATACCTCGGAAGTTTTCGAGGGACATCGCGAAATCTAGGGTAAAGAGGGAACGCAAGCATTTTACGGCTATTTATTTAGTTTCTAAGGAAGGAGTCAAAATCCGGTGACCGACCATCGTTGCGCGGATATGCCGAGAAGCTTCTTGGAATCACGATTCAGGATGGAGAACACGATTCGGTATACCGCTGTTTTCAATATCAACTGATTTTTTTTCCAGATTGTGGATGCACGCGTGGCCCTGCGCATCTACCTGCTTCACAAAAAGCAAATCGAGGAGGAGCTCGCCCGTTACAAATAATCGAATGGATTTTCGCTGATTGCTTACCAATGAAATTTCACTTTTCTTTTTTGTTATTTTTTTTAGCAAAATTTGCCATATCTTGAAAAAAATCTGTTATTTTTGTTACACTTGTTTCTTGTTATCGCGAATAAAAATTGTCGCGCAAACCACCGTCATCGCGGAGCTACGCGTAGTGTCGGACATTTATTTGCACTTTCAAAATCATTTGAAGCTGTTCATCCGAATTTTCAGCTGAATCGAAGATGGGATTCTGGGACGGGGTAAGCCTTGGTTCTCTTTTTTAAAACTTTTAAATTAGATTGCAACGATCGTTGTTTCACTCTACCTGCTCATCGCCGTTCTCGGAAGTTTGCGCTATCTAATAAATTGCCTGTTAGTTTTTAAAGCAACTTGATTACGTAACAGTTTTAGAAAATTTCTCGATTTCAAGAAAAATGTGGTTTTTAGGTGGACCTTCACACATCCTACCTGGGAAGGTATGCAACTGGTGCTTGCTTGAACGCATGTTTTTACTTTTAGACTGTCCCTTTTGGCCCCGAGATGTATTCGCAAATTTCTAGTGAGTCAACTATTTCCTGTTCTTTTTGGTTTCTTCTTTCCTAATCTTAATTTTAGCAGCATATGCGTGGCCCTATTCTCCGTCCAACTTCAACCGCAACCCTCCATCACTAATGGTTACGTACGAGCTAGCCCGAGGACAGGGAACACCACACCAACGGTATTGCCGGCAGCCTTTCATGAAATCGCTTTAGTCCCGCTCTTTTCCTTCGCGTCCGAGCTCGGCGAAGACCAGCTCAACAAAGTCTAGCCCATCGAAACCCAGCCCATTGAAGTCTAGCCCAACAAAAGGTATCAGCATCATTTTTCTATACTCTGTCTCGTTTAGTGTACCGGAAATATGATCCCTATCAACGTTTCGCGATGGCATGCCGTAACGGCCGAGAGTGAGTTTTGGCTTCTCAAAAATAAACCCATTTAGGGAAACTGATTTCAAGGCTTTACAGAAGCTGGGTGGTCGGGTCAACAAATGCAGGCAGAGAAATGTGACCGCTTATTCATGTCTTTAACCTATTTCCTTAGATTCTGGGGCTTGACTGCGAAATGGTGGGCATCGGCGAGGATGGAAAGAGGCATGCGTTGGCTCGTGTGTCATTGGTTGACTTCAGCGGAAGGGTGAGGATTTTGAGAAGTTACTTATTGAGTCCCAGGTTGTCTATGACTCCTACGTCAAGAGCACAGTGCCGGTGACCGATTATCGGACGTTCGTTTCTGGCATTGAGGCTCAACATTTGGAGCGAGGTATCTAGGGTTATTCGGGGCTAAGATTATGCGTTACTTGCAGCTCCCAGCTTCTCAAAAGTTCGCGCCGCCGTGGAGCAACTGATCTCTGGTGCTACACTAGTTGGACATGGCCTTGACAATGATTTGAAGGTTTTTTGTTCTCTGCGCTAACTGCTTTTTTTAGATCCTCCGACTTGAACATCCTGTTCAACACTGCAGGGATACCGCATATTATTGGGTGTGTTTTCAAGCGGGGTCTCTTGTCAGCGGCCGGTATTTTTGATAATCGCTCTTTTTCAGCAATTCCGTGAACTGCTGAAAATCTCACGCTGTCCCCCGTTGAAGCAGTTGGTCGAGACGGTGCTCGGTGACAAGCAATTCCAAAATGGTGCTCACGATCCGGTACTTTGATTTTCTTATGCTAAGATTACCAACAGTTTTTGCAGGTCGAGGACGCCTACGCCCCGCTGCGCATCTATAAGAAGTACCGGGAGGACTGGGACCGCGATGTCTGCCGCCAGGAGTGGAGCTGATCACCGGCCATCCTATGTACATATTATGAATATATTACCATCTGTATCCCGAAGCTAAACTGCCGCTAGCAAAACCCGATGTTCTCTCCCCCCCCGATGCTCATTTCACATTTTCCCCTCAGCTAAATTGTGCGGCATCATCCCCCTGTGGCGCGCTGTGTTGTGATCGTATTATGTGTGATGCGTTTGATATATTGCCTGGGCGATAATGCTACATAAAGCGATCGATATATCTGAAAGGGTTTTAGGCTCCTGTTATTCCCCGAACTTTGCGGCGCTACCTTGGATTCATCTCAAGCAAGCCAGTCCAGACCTGGACAAAAGGTCGAAGCCCAAAGCTTAATAAAAGTCAACTAGCGCTGCACTGCAAAAAAAAAACCAGATAATTCCCGACCTCCAACTTTCCGACTTGATCCCCCGCTAAATATTCAGATTTATCTCTGGAGCCGCGTTGAAGCGCTGGGCAAGTAAGGAGGGCCCTGAGGGCCCCTATCAGTTGGCGAATCTGCCAGCGGGGTGGCGGGCGAGGATGGGCATGTCGGCGACGGGAGACAAATGGAATGTGGATGGGGTCCCCGGGGACACTGCAGGCGGCCCCTCTTGACGCATTAACACATCCCGACGGCAGACGGCTCAGATCGACAAGTGATACGAGGGGCAATGGCGGTTACGGTGGCGCCACACGGCTTCACAGACTTTTTTTACGTTAGTTTATAGATTTTCGTCTTATAAGCTATCGTTTTTAGGTGAATGGCGTTTTGCGAAGGCTTAGTTCAGAATTTCAAGCTCGATCAAATGACCCATCCCGTTTCTAAAACCGGTTCTTGGTTAGCTACTTAGAGCTCGATCTTTGTTGTCTTCCATTTTGCTTTAGACTCCTTGGTTTAAAACTGATTTTAAAAAACCCTAGTAGATTCTAGTCCCAAAAACGTGTCCATGCCTCTTCAAAATCTTTTTAGATGTGATGACGTCTTCAAAACCACTACCCCTATATTCCAGCGGCCCAGCAACCGCAACCGAACCGCTTCAAATTCGTCGTAATCCTCCGGCCGTTCGTCGTGCCTTCCCCGGGGGCTTAGGCGTGAATCCTCGTCGCCTTAGAGGGCCCGCGCGGGGCCCGGGCCCACGAAAAATGGGTGCGATGATCGTGGCCTGGGGGGCTTTACCCCGTCAGCCGGCGGCTTTGCGGCACTCGCCAATCGCAACATACCGTAGTTTGCGGGGTTGGAAATTTTTGGGGGTGAGTCAGGGGTAGGGTGTGGAAACTGGGCGCGTTTCGGGGACACTGCCGAACCTCCTCTAAATCTTTGTTTTTGAATTCACCTGTATAATTTACTTTTATGAAGGAAACAGAAGGTTTCATTTCTAAAGGAGGTTTCAGGGTTTCCTTGCCTGATTGCCTGGAAAACGGTACTTTTACATTATCGGGGGACGGACTAGGAGCCGATTTTTTCACTACGAGTCCAGATATGACTAGTTATTCCGTAGATTATTTTAATAGACATTTTCGTAGAAATTTAGGTATGTTTGACGCAGAAAACCAGATAAAGACGTAGAAAAGCGCTGAAAAGCCGAGGTTTTGATCAAAAATGTTCAGTTTCGGGCGCAAAATCTAGGTGTTTTTTTTTTGTTGTTTTGATGAGACATTCTAACGTTTTTTCGCATAGTAAAAACATTAAGAAGGGCTCGATTCTATTAGAAAAATTGGAAGGAAAAGTCCCCACCCCCGATAATGCGAAAGTATCCGGGAAGTCACCCGGTTCCTCCCAGCTATTGCACGGAGATCTGATTAGGATCCCGATGCCTATCTTGCGCCCTAAACACCGTAATCCACCCCGGCAAATATAATATTTAGGTGCGCCCCCGATGATACGAGGGCGTGAACCGGGTGCGCTAATAAGCGGGGGGGGGGGGGCAATGGGGCGAGGGCGGTTGGTCCGTTTAAGGCGCTTCTCGGAGCTCGTAAAGTCATAAAGGCGCCCTCCCCCTGGCCCACCACACCACCCCGATAGCATCAAGGGGGAAAGAGCAGCACCCGGAGAAGACAACCCAACAACCCAACAAGACATCACAATTTGCATTCAGCGCCCAGCGTCGTAAACTCGCACCGCAGCCCTGTCCCCTTCCTCTACCCCGTCGTCACAACCAATTCTTGTGCACTGCTAGGGGGGGCTACCGTATGGCTAACGGGCCGAGATTTGCATGGAATCACCTCTTTAGAGCCACAGCTCCGTGGGGTGGGCGCTTTTGTGTTTGGTAACGCGGCCAGGCTGGGAGGTACTTGAGGAACTGGCCGAGTGCGGAATGTCGTGTCAGTTTTTTTTTTGAGGTATCCGGATTCTGCTGGGGAACCGCGATGGAGAAATCTACTTTGAACTAATTAGATCTAAATCTAAGGTAGATGCTTTTGCGTTATCGGGGGAGGGGGGCGGCCTTTTCCCGTATGATCCATTTTTCTAAAATAGATATATTATGAGCAGTTGTTTCTAAACTATTTTTTTCTATCCCTTAACGCAAAACTTCAAAATTTTCATTAAAAGATACGGATGCTATCGATTTTTCGACCAAATATGACGGATTTTTCAAAACTTTTGAAGTTTTTAGATGATTTTCGAGTTGGAATTTACAGTAAATTAAATTACTGTAAATATAAATTACTTAAATTTTACTAAAAACTATTAAGATTCTTATTATTACGCTACTAGGGATTTCTTGGTTTATTAAAAAAAGCGGTTTTGATCCCCCCGGTAATGCAAAAGAGCCCCAATTTATCTAATTTAGCCTGATAGCGAATCTACTATTTTCATTTGTAATTTTACGGGAACCTGGTGATGATCTGGACTATGGACTACAAAATGCTCCAAATAGCATCGGCTCCTTCGACGATCGTCCTGAAAAAGGTATTTTTAGGATTTCAACACACCATTTCGCCAAGAGTACCAAAAAACGGCAATCAAAACTCAGCAATTCGCCCCAAACACTTTTCACAGTTTACTTTTATAGCCCAGGCGCGAATTGCGCTAGCGCATCGCAAAGGTGCGCCTGGAATTCGCGGTGACTCGCCGCGAAAGTCAATTTCAGCGCCCGGGAAAAGCGAGAAAATGAGCACGGAAAGACTTGTTGGTCGTGTTCCAATTATGGGAGCAAGAGGGGAGGAGGCGGATGAGGAGGCAGGTGCCC